ATCCACTCACCTCAGCCTCCCAAAGGCGCGGGATTACAGGCTGAGCCACTGAGCCGGTTGACACTCTTCTATTAAATCCACTAATCAGGAAGACTAAGCTACCAAGCCGGCTGACACTCTTCTATTAAATCCACTAATCAGAAAGACCAGCCAGGCTCAGTGGCTCAGCCTGTAATCCCACACCTTTGGGAGGCTGAGGTGAGAGGATTGCCTGAGCCCACGGGTTCAAGACCTGCCTGGGCAACTTGGCGAGACCTCATCTCTACAATAAATCAAAAAATGAGTCGGGCGTGGGGGTGCGTGCCTGTAGTTCCACCTACTTGGAAGGCTGAAGCAGAAGGATTGTATGAGCCCAGCAGGTCAAGGCTGAGGTGGCTGTAAGCATGCCACTGCACTCCAGCCTGGGCGAGAGAGTGAGACTCCAACTCAAGAAAAAAAAAAATCAGGAAGACCATTCAGTATTAACTAACAACTCCATAAAAAGGGAGCTTATCTTCTCTCTTCCATCTTACCTGAAGCAACTCCAGTGTGGAGGCCAAGCTCTTCTCCCCCACCTCTGAGATGAGCTTCTTCAAGGAAGTGATTGTCTGATTGAGCCTTAGCATGTTCACACTCAGTTTCTTCTTTGTATCTTCGTCTTCTTTGCTCAGTCTCTGAAGAATCAGTAGCTCTTCTTCAGCCAGGAAGTGGTGCAGCTTTGAGAACTCCGTGCTGATTCTCATTCGCTGATTCTTTATCGTCTCCTATGGCCAAACCAGAACTGCTCATTCCTTGTTCTGCAGGGCCCTTCCTCCAACACTCCTTGCACATGATTCCCCAACAGTCCATGGTCCTTTCCATCCTAGTCAACTCCTATGGAAAAGCTCCTCCCTACCCCATTAAAAATTTCTATTACTCTTTTATTTACACCTACTTGGTATCTTTGCACTAATCATTTTAGTATTCATTAACTCTTCCTAACATTTGAGTTTCCACTACAGACAGAAATGCCTTGTTTGTAAACTTCTTAAACTAGAAAACACTTTCACACCTACTATTTAGTTGAACCCTCAGAGTACCAGTTTATAACATTTGAGTCTCCACTACAGACAGAAATGCCTTGTTTGTAAACTTCTTAAACTAGAAAACACTTTCACACCTACTATTTAGTTGAGCCCTGAGAGTACCAGTTTAGTTTTGCTAAATCTTTAGGAGAAAGAGTGTGTGTGTGTGTGTGTGTGTGTGTGTGTGTGTGTGTGTGTTAGGAGAAAGAGTGTGAGTGTGTGTGTTAGGAGAAAGAGTGTGTGTGTGTGTGTGTGTGAGAGAGAGAGAGAGAGAGAGAGAGAGAGAGAGCGAGAGAGAGACCTCCTAACTAGAATTGCCTCCTTGGAAGCAAAGTCTGGTCATTTGTTTCTTTCCACAAACTGACTCCAACCTAGAAAGTATATTTAGAAAAAAATTAGGAGGACGAGGTGCTACTTTAAAGTAGAAATATGAGAATGAGGTATGTGGAGCTCACATCACCCAAAGTCACAAGTCAGTAGAGACAGATACTTTCTCTTCTACCACTTCATCTACAAGGGGCCCAGCAACTGATGACACCCTGAAAGCTCTTCACTGTAAAACTCCAGAAGCAGCCCCAGAATGAAAAGACCTCAGGGGCAAGAAATGTCCAAATGTTTCTGCTATTACCTTCCACTTTGTAGCATTCTTCACTTCCATGTCCTGTAAATGCATAGCTTTCTTCATCATGGCTATGAGACTACGTTGAGAATTAAGAAGTTTCTCCTGCCAGCAGAAACACACATAGGTAAGAAATCACCTTTCCAAGTACCTTCGTTTTATAAGAGCTAAAAGTCACCTAAGTCAAACAGGGAATAAAGCTGAGAAAAAGCTGAAGATGGTCACAGGCCTATAGTAAGAACTATTCTGGTCAGAACTCATCACAACACTATGTCGAGTCTGCCTAGTAAACGAGCAAACTAAAAGTTGCTAAAGGACTCACAAATATCTAGTATTGACAGGCACAACAGTAGTAAAAGAAAAAAAGGGAGCAAGATTTTATAAAATGTGCATAATTCTACTTCTAATCAGCTATCCAACAAAACGCTAAAAAAAATCAATATGTAAAGAACATTCACTGTAGCATTATTCATCATCCACAATGAGGGGTTATTAAATAAATTATGGCATATTGACACCCTGTATCAATTTCAGGTAGCTTTATATATTGACATAAAATACATAGCATATTAAGCTTTAAAAAAAGCTGTAAAACAAAATATATTACATAATTCTGTTTTGAAGAGTAAATGTGTGTCTGTGCACATGTATGTTTATGTGTGCATTTGTATGTAAATAGAAATCTAGAAGGAAATATACCCAAGTATTAACAATCATTATTTCTGGGGAAAAGAGTGGCCTGAAAGTTGAGTTGGGGGGTACTAGAAATTTTATACATTTGTTTTGCTTTAATTTCTACAAGAGGCATATAACATTTCTGTAATTTAAAAACCCAAATAAGTTATTTAAAAATAAAGCAAGGCTGGGCACAGTGGCTCACAACTGTAATCCCAGTACTTTGGGAGGCCAAGGCAAGAGGATCACTTGAGCCCAGGAGTTTAACACCAGCCTAGGCAACATAGTGAGATGTCGTCGCCACCAAAATAAAAATTTTTGCTTAGTGTGATGGTGTACGCCTGTAGTCCCAGCTATTTGGGAGGCTAAGGCAGAAGGATCACCAGAGCCCAGGTCAAGGCTGCAGTGAGCCGTGATCATGCCACTGCACTCCAGCCTGGGTGACAGAGTCAGACCCCAAATCAATCAATCGATATATATATGTAAATATATAAATTAAGCAAGGCTGTCACACTGACAAAGTGGGCTATTAACAGGCAGCACCTAATAGCAAAATGTCAGACACAGTTGCAGAGACAAACGCAGGCAGGTTAGAGAAACAGACCAGAGAAAAGCCAAAGGGAACTGATGACCAAATGGCTGGAGGAGGAAGAGATCTGATTGAGCTCCTAGGTTCTGGTTTGAGTAACCAAACGAACGGCAGGTTACTTCCCAAATTAGAAAATGTAGGATGATGAGCATTACGCAAATGAAAGAAAATAAATATGACTTGAATAAATTGAGTTTGAGATATCTGCGGGACATCCAATTTGGGTATGTTAGCAGTTATAGTTAATAAAGAGACCCGGACTGTGCTGGGTGTACTGGCTCACACTTGCAATCCCAATGCTTTGGGAGGCAGAGGCTTTAGGACTGCGTGAGGCCAGGAGTGTGAGACTAGACCCGGCAACATAGAGAGACGTATCTCCAAGGGAGGGAGGGACAGAGGGAGAGGAGAAAGAGATCTGTGCTGCAGAAGCAGATTTAGTACAGGTAGCAGTTTGAAGCCATGGGTAAGAAACCACAGGTGATTACCCGCTAAGATTCTACAGAGTAAGAAGAGGATTACGGGCAACACCCTCGGGTCCCCTCCCACTGTGGGAGCTTTTCTGTCCTTTCAAAATCCCGCTTTCTAAAAAAATAAAAAAATAAAAGGAAAGGATCAAGGCTAGACTTGGGAAGAACTACATTTAAGGGGTATGAAGAGGGTGAAAAGCCTGCAAAGAAGCTAAGATGGGCAGCTGGTGAAAAACCAAGAGAATGGCTTCCTCTATACCAAAGGAAGAGAAAATTTTAATTAAAAAACTAGTGAATAGTATCAAATGCTGAAGGGTAGCCTAGGGCAACTTTCTGCAAATATGAATGTATGTCAAAATGAAAAGCTAAAAGAAAAAAATAGGCTAGGCATGGTGGCTCAAGCCTGTAATCTCAGTACTTTGGGAGGCTGAGGTGAGAAGACTGCCTGAGCTCAGAGGTTCGAGACCAGCTTGGGCAATTTGGCAAGACCTCATCTCTACAATCAATCAAAAAATTAGCCGGGCACAGTGGTGCATGCCTATAGTTCCAGCTACTTGGAAGGCTGAGATGGAAGGATCGCCTGCACCCAGCAAGTTGAAGCTGTAGTGGCCGCAAGTGTTCCACTGCACTCCAGCCTGGCTGACAGAGTGACAATCCCACTCAAAAAAAAAAAGAAAAGGAAAAAAAGAAAGAAAGAAATGAATAGAATTAAGAAATAAGCTGTGCAATTTTAAAATTCTTCCCTAGGAGAATAATAAAAACTAATCTGTATAACTTTTCTTCCAATCATTTACAAATGACAGTGGTTAAAATAAAGTCAAATAATTTAAAAGACTGAAAACACCAAAGTCAGCAAGGAGGTGGAGTAACTGGAACACTCATACCATGTTGGTGAGTGTGTGAAATAATATAAGCATTTGGGGAAAAGGTCTAGCATAATACTAAGCATATATTAATCCTATAGCACAGCAATCCTACTCCTAGGCCTTGGAAAAATAAAAACATGTGTCCACAAAACCTGTGCAGGAACATTCATAGCAGCTTTATTCATAATCGCCAAAAGCTGGAAACAGCCCAGGTATCCATTAATAGGAAGAGGGGCAAACTAACTGTAGTACGTTCACATAATGAAATACCACTTAGCAATGAAAAGTAACAAACGCCTGACACACAAAATACATTTCAAAATCAATATGCTGAGCAAAAGGATCCTACTTAAGAGTACAAACTATATGATTACATTTTTATGGACTTGTGGAAGAGGCAAAATTAATCTGTGTTGACATAAAAAAAAAACCCAGAACAGTGTTCGCATTGAATGGGGGTGGGAACAGAAAAACTGGAAAAGGGTATGGAGGAACTCCCTGGGGCGGTAATGCTCCCTATCTAGAGAAGGGCTTGGGTTACCCAGTTGAATACATTTGTCAAGCTCAGCAGACACACACCTAAGATTTGTGTATTTTACTGTATTAAATTTTGCCTCAAAAAATACCATAAACAAATGTTAAATGTTAAAGGCATGCATGCTAAAATATTTTGTTTGCAACTGAATTTTAAAAGCTTTAAAAGAAACTAAGAATTGATGGATAGAGAGAGGGATATAGACGGAGATGGACAGCTAGATGACAAACAAGCAGAGTAAAATGTAAATGGCAGAATCTAGGTGTGGGAATATTGCTGTTATAAAACCCTTCCAAGTTTGATGTGTGCTTAAAACTTTCATGGTAAAATGAAATAGGCAAAAAAAAAACGAGGTTAAAAAAGGCATTTATACAGTTCTGTTAAATGGCACAATACCACCGATGCTATTTTCTTTCTACTACAATGTTTCCTAACATTATATCATCTATTTACTATCCCTGGTGGTTAACAAATAGGTATATAGCCATGCTACTCAGTAAGCATGTAATTTTACTTCTGTATTCAAGTATAACTGCCACTTTGTCATCACTGTCAAATTTGATGTATATGAGGCTTGTAATTAGACACAGAGCTCCTTTAAATAAGACCAAGCTTTTCACTTTTGCTTGATAATAAAAGATACCTTTTAAATAGAGATTTTCAATTTTTCAAAATACCTTTTAACAATTCCAGTATGCATGACTTATCTCATATGACTCTACTATTTAAGAGTCTATCTAAATCTTTTTGAGTCCTGCCACAGTTGGGATCTAAACTTGGACCTGAGTTAACCTGGCAACCCTCTGAGAAATTAGAAAACACCTTCCCTGCCATAACAGAAACTGCCACAAGGTGACAGGGGACACCAAATATTTCAAACCTATAAAATGAAGACAACTCAGCTAAATGTCTCTTAAATACCTTTCCAGCTCTTAAGTTCTGTGAATTTCGGTTACCGTGGCCTCTGCACGCGATACAAAGCAGGTAGGTCTACCTCAAACCTGTCCACTTGCCATTGCCATTGCCACTGCCACTGCCTAACTCAGGCCGCCACTGTCTCTCATCTAGACAACGCCAACAGCCTGACTGGACGCCCTGCTTGCCACGCTGTCCTCCACTCACACAAGATCCACACAGCAGGCAGGGTCATCTTTCCAGAACCAATCGGATCTTGTGACTCCCCTGCTAAACATTCCAACGGACTCTCCTCCTCACCAAGAAAGCTCAAACACTGCATGGCGGCCCAACATACGCCGGCCCGACCCGCATCTCGCACTGCGCCTCACGCTGCTTCTCCCTCTGCTCTTGGCACTCCAGGCACAGCCCCTTTTAGCTCTTTACATAAACCCAGCTCTCCCCTACCTCAGGTCTTCGTATTTACTGTCCACGGCCTGGGATGCTCTTCCCACAGTTCCTCAGCTGGTGGAGTCCTCATCCACCGAGTCCACTGAGACGCCACCTCCTCAGAGAAGACCGTTCGCCTGATGAAAGCCCCTGCCACTTCGCTAGCCCAGCACTGTCTCTCACAGCACATATCACTCTGTGATCACCTCACTTATTTGTCGGTCAACTGTCTGCCTCTGTCTCCCAGACTCCTGGACTGTGAGCTCACGGAAAGCCTTTACCTGTCTTAATCACCACTGGATTTCCAGTGCTCTGACTGTGCTATGCGCCAGTGTCCAACACAAAACCGGTGCTCAATAAATGTCTGTTAAATGAATTAATAGAATGGAGGGATTCGCCTCTAGAATCAAATACTGGCATGGGGGGAAAAAGCACTGTGTTTGGAAGCTTTTTCCATGCAAAAAATTTGCATCCTAAGGTTTATGAAGCTGTTTCTCATTGTTTTTTTTTTTTTAATTCTCTCCCCACCACCAAGGGCATAGGGTGGGGATATTTTCTATGAATCTAGGGAACACCCAACTTTTCCAGTTGTCCAATTTTTAAGACACAGTTCATCCATCTGAGTATATGTTGAGAATGGAATCCCATGGAAACAGGGTAACTCCACCCAAGAGCAACTCAGTGTTTTTCTAACTAACTTGGGATTGGGATAGAGTGAGCGATGGACACATGGAGCCGTGACTAATCAGAGAAGGGCAGAGAAGGAGGCAGACACTGAGGCAGTCCGCCAAATGCCCGTCTCCTGAACACTTAGCCCACTCCAGCGCAGCCCTGACCCACTCGACCCGACCCTGCTGGACCATTTTGCTTAATCCCCAAATCCCGTCTCCTCCAAGCATTCTTCTCAGATGACGTGTGGCAGAGTGGATAGTGTAATGGATCGGGAGTTAGAGGATCTCAGTTCGAGCTTGGCCACTTCCTTGCCTTGTGACCCTGGGCAAGTAAGCGCACATCTCCGTGCCACAGTTGCCTCATCCGCACAAGGAAGATAAGAGAATCCACCTAACAGGACTTTTGTGAGGATGGAAGAATCACAAGAGAAACCATGCCAAGAAATGTGGGCGGTGCACAGCAAGTCATCGACAATTGAAAGCTATTCCTAGCCCTTTGCACTTGGACCAGCAACTCGGCCACACTTTTTTACAAAACAGTGAAAAACAAATCAACAGTACAGCATTGGAGTCAATTATTTTATTGTACTGATATTTGGCTTGTAATTGAATTTTGGATATTGAAAAATTCACTGATGACCAAAAAATCAAAACTCTAGGTATTTTTCTAATGTGTGGTAATCTGTGAAACAATCATTGACACACATTGCAGGTTCACTGATACATGTTGTGCAAGAGCATTTGTGTGCTGTCTTCCACCCAGTGTTTTTCTAATCGAGCAGACAATGTAGTCTCATTTTCTTCTTCCCACATTAATAGTATGTAATTTATTGTCCAATCTGTTGTTCAAAGATGATGTGAAAGGACACACTCGTGATTCCTGAAAACCTCAAAGATGAGTTAGATTTAAATTCATCTTTGCTGCTGCTTATAACTCTCACTTTTGTATCTTCGTTTTGCCATAGTTCTGCAAACTAAAATTTCTAATTGTAAATTACAAAATCATGAAATAAACTTATCAAAAGAATATTATTGTTCCAATTTTTACTTTCTGACTTAGATATACTTGATCTGTGCCACTCAATACTTCAGTACAGATCTGCCTTCAACTTTGAAAGTCTCTTTCTTTTAAGACTACAGTAATGCTGGGCGCAGTGACTCATGTCTGTAATCCCAGTACTTTGGGAGGCCGAGGTGACAGGACTGCCTGAGCCCACAGGTTCGAGACCAGCCTGGGCAGCATAGTGAGACCTCGTCTCTACAATAGATCAAAAAATTAGCCAGGCATGGGAGCACATGCCTGTAGTTCCAGTTACCTGGAAGGCTGAGGTAGAAGGATTCCCCAGAGCCCAGGAGGTCAACGCTGGGGTGGCCATGAGCGTGCCACTGCACTCCAGCCTGGGCAATGGAGTTAGACTCCAACTCAAAAAAAAAAGTCTGCAGTAACTTGCTTAACTATCTTTTTAAGTTATGCCATAAGACATGAAGAGTATACCCACTACTGTCTTTCTTATACAACCGCTCTTTATCATTACCTTCTGCTACAAAGTATCAGCACCACTGTAAAAGCACGTCACACATTCTCTTTCTACATGATGCCAGCTGATATGCTTTTACAAATACCTCAGTATATATTCCATCTTTTTATTCGCTTTTTTTGTGCAATTTGAATGGAAAACTTCAAGGACTTGTACATTTTTTAAAAATCTGTGTTTGCATAAGTTTGTCCTGTATAATCACCAGCAATCTGTTTATGTTGCCTGAGAGGGAACATCCGAGTGGTTTGCTAGATTTATTATGTCACCTCAGAGTGATCATCTGAATGCAAAGGATTGACATTACTATTATTATTGTTAAAGATTGAAGATTTAAAGGCTATGTTCTCCTTTCATACTCATCCACTTATATTTCCTCAGCCCTCACCCACAACCTTATTTTCTCTTCTATTTCTCTGAAAAGTCCTCTCCGTCTCTTTTGCTAGCTACTAACTACAGGTGTTTCTCTTCACACTTGCCTTTTTTAAATCTCTGTGGTCCCTCTGGGAGACTCTCACCTGTTTCCTCCTCCAGCTCCTAACAGTCGACCACATCTTCTCCACCGCCTCTGTCTTGCACTAATTCAGGCCTTTTTTACCTCCTGCTTAAAATGGTGTAACAGCAGCCTAATTGGTCTTCTCTTCCATTTATCAACAGGGATGCCAAAGTGCACTTTCTAAAACAAGAAATGGGTTGTATCATTTTCTACCTTAAAACCCTTTGATGCACAGGTTCAAGACCTCTTCTCTACAATAAATAAATAAATAAATTAGCCGGGTGTGGAAGTGTGCACCTGTAGTCTGGGCTACTTGGAAGGCTGAGGCAGAAGGATCGCCAGAGCCCAGCAGGTTGACACTAGGGTGTTCGTGAGTGTGCCACTGCACCCCAGCCTGGGCGGCAGAGTGAGACTCCAGAAAAAAAAAGAATAAAGAAAAAAACCCTTTGATGACTCATTACCCGAAAGAAAAAGCTCAGTCTTTTTGGAATGATAAACAAGATCCCTCATGATAAGATTTCTGCCCTTCTCTTCAAGTTCAACTCCCACCATCCTCCCTTCCGAGTTCCATGCTCCAGAAATACTGAGCATCTTCCAGCTCTCTCACACATCACATGCCATTCCACACCGCATTTTGAAAGCACTGTCCCTTTGGCCTGAAATACCCTCTCCCCTACCTGTACTCGCCCTTTAAGAGCTCACTTCCGTTTAGAACCTCCGTGAAGCCTTTTCTCACTCCTCAATCTGATCACTCCAACCTCAGACCGTCTATATAACTGGTAAATACTTCAACAACTCTCCTACGCACATTGAAATTAGTGGTCTACACGCTCATATTTCTTACGAGTCAAAGCACCTGTCTTTCTCATTCATTTATATCCAGATTTCTAGAACAACGTTTGGCACATAGTAAGCATCAGTACAGGTTACTGAGTGAAGGAACGAAACGAATGTACGCTTTCCGATAGAACTTTGCATCCGTTTCCTGTGCACAGTCAGCTGGCAAAACGGCACAGCATTCTCGTTCACAAAGCATTTGCACGGTGTCATGGAAATTGGTGGGTTCAAGTACTTACTGAATGTCAATTCTGTTGGAGACCACTGGAGTCACACCATCAGTAACGGAAGGGGTGGGGCTACTCGGGGAAGGATGCTCAAGGAAGGTCTTCAAGCTAAGAGCTAAAGGATCTAAAGGACGGAAGGCGTGGGCAGAGAAAGAGAACAGACTTGAAACCAAAGCAAGAAAGCCAGTGTGGCTGGAGCAGAGTAAACGGACTTATTCCACCGAAGCCTCGTAATCGGTGAGACAGGCAGAAGAGAGAATCCCCACCTTCAAAGGCTGCGATTTCCCCCGCTGGCGAAGGAAGCCGCTGAGAAAACGCAGCCTCGTCGCTGCAGGCCAGGCTTTCCCCGGAGCAGCAGTTGCCTGTGGCACCTGCAGGCACAGAGGGAGGGCACTGTCCAGGTCAACATCCCTCGGCGACACAAGCGCCTAAAAGGTACCGGCCGAACTGAAACGCGCTGCGGATGTGAACCACACGCCGACTTCCAAGACCCATTAGGAAAGGGAGAATGCACACCATCCCGACCGTCTGGCCGCCACGGGGAACAGCTGGGATCGTTGGGTGGAGTGGGACACTACTGAGGTCAGCATCCCCTTGGCTCCTCGCACAGAACGACTGGAAACGATGGAAATCGCGTGCGCGGCTCGCACGGCTTCTACGGGACAGCACCGGGACCCCCTCTCAGCACGCTCGCCTTCAGCAGAGCTCCCCGGGGTCCAGGCCCCGGAAAAGCGGGCGGCG